ATTATGAATATAACAAGCAAAATTATAGCAAGTTAATTACAAATTGGACTAGCCGTTTATCGGTATATCACACATTGGACCGGTCCCAATAGTAGTTAGTAGTGTTAGTATATTATTTTGTTTTATTTTATTTGGCGTTTTGTGTTTGGATATTATTTTATTATTATTTTAATTCATTAAAAACATTAAAAATGTACATTTAACWACTGGTTGCAAAGAAACCAATTATCAAACTTCAAAACCGTCTTCGCGTGAAAATTTTAAGAGCTAAAAAAAACAATATTGTGAAAAAGATCAACATTGAACATTCAGTAAGAACCCATCTACATATTTCTACTAATGTTTGTTACTTATTTCATATTTTAAAATTATAATCATTTATAATTAATCAAATTAACTTTATAAATAACAAGTAAATAACTTTTGTAGTATTATAAAAAAAACTTATGAAATACATTTTTTGTTTGTTTGCTTAGTGAAATTTCTTAGTGTTCCTATCAATTCTATTGATGAACCAATAAATATAACTAATAATGGATCACCAGAATCTACTACTAGTACTACTATTGAGTAAACTATATTGCATTTGTATAATTATATATTATATAACATAATGCTAAATTGTTATTTGCTAATATAGTATACGATCTACCTTGTCCGAACGATTTATACTTAAATTAGGTATATGATATATACAATATACTCATATTAATTAGGTATTATACTAAATTTGTAAATATTTATTTTACATAGGTGACAAAAAAGGATTATTTTCATTGATACATTTTATAATAATTTTGTATTTCTTTTTTTATAAAAATAATAATGTATAATACCTATCATATATTACTGCATATACCATAATATTATAATATGTATACTCGTATATTATTCAATTTTGCTACTAATTAAATATTAATCATAGTATATTACTATATTATTATTAATTTTAGTGAGCATATTATATGTTAACAGTTAACATGTAATAGTGGTAGGTAATACACAATTTTAATACTAAATTATTACTAATAGCGAATCAAATTGTAACTGCGGAGTTCATCAGTGTTGAGGTATATAATACCTACATACACTACTAATATTAATTATATATGTATATATAGGGATGGGTTAGAAAAAAATATATTTGAATGTAAATTAAATAAATATTTATAATAATACACATAAATATTCCTTTTTAAATAAATAATTGATTTTAAGAGAACGTTACACCCGCATTTGTTGTCTCCGTCTTACAAATTGCGTAACATTGCAAAAACTGTTTCGCGCAGGAAAGAACCGAGAAAGATACAGTTATAACTAAGAAACAAAATTTTCACCACATATAAAGGAGAATTTTGTCTGTGTAATATCGTTTTTATTTTTTCGATATCACTTATACAAAAAAAATTCTTATTGTTTTATAATATATTAATTTTGTGTTTTTTAAGCATGAATAATTTTTTTTTTAGTTCTGATATTGAAAAAATAAAAACGATATTGCACAGACAAAATTCTCCTTTTTATGTGGTGAAAATTTCGTTTCTTAGTTATAACTGTAGCTTTCACAGTTCTTTCCCGCGCGAAACAGTTTTTGCAATGTTACGTACTTGTAAGACGGAGACAACACATGCAGGTGAGACGTCCTCTTAATGAGTTTATTAAAATATGATAGTAATAAAATTAATTTAGAAAAAAAAATGTTGACCCACCTTTTAAATATAATAGGTACCTAATATTAGTATTTTCTTAATTATTTTATAGAAATAAACTTATTATTTAGTGAACAAGAAACAGAAGTTATCGACCAAAAGTTACAATCGGTTCATGAATTATCTACACTGGAAATGGAAACTTCAAAGTACCTACTTATATAAAATATAGTTAATTAAATTTTTTTTTTTAATAACACAATATCCTGTATATTTATGTAGATTACTGATTGGTCGTCGAATAGTAAATATAATGTACGTATTTGAACAAATATTAAATAACAAATGTCAAATGCATATTGCTCATGGATATTTTAATGCGAAATGTGTAATATTGAAATAACGATAAATTCTGATATGACTGATGATCAAAATACAATTTCAATAAATAAAGCTGTCACTAGTGCATCTTTGGCGGTTGGCATAGGCGCAACTAGGGGGTGTCTTGCGCTCCAGCCCCTCTAAAATTTCTAAAAGCCCCTCCATAATATTTGGGTAAATGTATATCAGTATTCAGTATGTGTATAGATTTGTAATCTTCATAAGTTATGAATCATAACTATTTTATTATATTTCATATTACTTAGGTAGGTATAGACTATTGTGTTTGTGTATATTTTATTTAATGTTATTAGGTAGGTATATGAAAATAAAGTTACAATTTAAGTTTAAAAATGTCAAAATAAAGAAGTAAACTGTATCGTAGTATAAACGTACAGTTTTGAATGTTGAATATTATTAATTATTATATTAGGTATAATAAATGATAGGTATAACTATAATATATATTTTATAGTTTTATGTAATTCATGTGAAATAAAGAATTTGTATGTATTATTAATAATTCTAATTTTTATTTTTTTTTTAATTCATACAAATTAAAACTTATATTTGTGTGGGGGCAATTATGTTTCCATAGGTAGCACCTTATTTTGCTATAAAATTTATTTAAGGATTCCAGCCTCCCCCCTCTTTAACGTAAAGCGCTAGTTACGCCTAGGTATGGCGGTTGGAATTGGTTATAGTCAACTAGTCAAGTTCATGAATTTACAGCATGTGTTGATATTTTGTGTATGAAATGTAATACCATAGAACAGTGTAATAGCCACATTTATTGTGTCCGTCTTACAAGTGCGTGTAATATACCTAGCTAATTTTTCACCCAGCAGTATACGTGTATAGCACTGTTAGTTTCAAATTTAGAGTGAATTAACCTCTAATAAAGTTTAAAGGTCAGATTATCATCTAGACAATATCTAGATAATATTTCAACAGTCATTTACAACTATTATTAAAGTTTAAAAATTATTTCATATTTTCATAAGTTAGTTCACGGTATTCACGTTTGGCATTTACGTCATGGCAGCATTGAACAATTCTATGCCAGTTTATTTAAATTTAATTTAATCACATCGAGAATAAAAATATTTAGAGAGTATTTTATCTTTTTAAGAGTGTTAAATATGAACAATTTGTTATGTTTTATAATTGATAAACTTTGAATTTCAATCTGCAAAATCAATTCACATAAACGCTTTGAAAATACTTTTATACACATTAGGTACAATAGAATTTAGCAACCACATATCTGTTTTTTAAATTATTAACTAAATTAATATTTTCTATTTTTGCTTCTATTTTTCAGTTACAGTTATAACTTATATTTTATAGGTATAACAAAAACTACCAAACTTGATATTTTCAATCTTGTTGTKTACCTATGTATAATAGGTACTGATATGATAAGTCTCAAAAGTATACTAGCTAGTTTGTTAGGAAATAGGACATAAATAGATATGTCTTTTTTAGATAACGACTATTGTCTATTATAGTGTTGTATCAAAACAATATTTTAATAATAGAGCTAATATTATGTTAGTTTATATTACTATAAAATATTTAAATGTATACAGTATATTTGACTTTTACAATAAATAAAATAAGTTTATAAATTTATAATGAATACATTAAAGAAGCTAGTTTTCCATATTGTTTCTAATTTTTTTTTTAATTTAAACTTATAGAGTTATGAATTGTACTAAAATCAAATTTAGTTGTAAATTTATAGTTTATTATAAAATGTAGGTATTTTACAATAAAAATACAACTATTATAATGAGTAAAATATTTTTAATGAATAGGAACACTCAACACAACATATTAAATATTCATATAATAGTTTTTTTTCTAATATACCTAACTAACATAGACGTGCGCAGGCCTCTTTTTTCAGGGTATGCAGAAGGCTACCATCACTAGCGCACCTTGAAAGTTGTTTTAAGCATGTAAGATTCTGATGATATTATAAACAATACTGAATACATAAATATTGAAATGTCTTACTGTTTAATAAAAAACATATTGTAACAAATGTCATGACAAAATACAATAAGTGTGTTCTTCTCATATCCTGCATACCTTCTGCGCACATCTATGAATACTAAGTCATATAATTTCAAAATAATTAAAGGGATTGAATAAATATTTCTTTATTTGAATTACCTATATCATATTGTCTGTGTGACATTCATGAAATTTGTATGTAAATTAGCACTAATTAAACAACTATATTGAACTACTGTATATGAATAAAAATTAAAAACAATATTTAAATGTTTAAACTTAGCTATACAATTACTAAACCTAAAATAGATTAAAGTTTTATTTAAGAATAATAGTAATTTATGAATATAAACATTGACATAATAAATAGGTTAATATTATTTAAAATTAAAATGATAATAATAATAGCTTATGTCTCACAAATGATAATATTTTAATATAATAATAAAATTTGTTTAATACTTTTTTAAACTACATTTTATTGTATAATAAATAATAAGTATTGTCTATAATATAGACTCTATACATTAAATAGTTTATTTAAAGCTAAATGGATAATAATTTTATAGATAGGTCATTTATAATTTATAATTTATAACTAATAATATCTAGTAATATTTAATATTATATATATATACTATTCTACTGAATATATTACATATTAAGTCAAAATGAACAATTAGATAATATAAATAAGTAAATAAATCCATCAAATTTGTAATGTATTACTTATATATACGCTTAAAATTAAATGTGTTAAATTGTATTGTTGTATATCAGAAAGTTTATAAAGTATTATAATTATAAGTTATAAGATGTAGAAATAAGTATAAATAATAATAACCATAATTTGTCATTTAAATACCGGACAGAAAAAAAAAATTACAGTAAAATATGATACAATGAAATTAATTTTTTACTTAACATAAGTTACAACACACTCAAACTTATAATAATCGAAAGAGACTGTATTCAGAAATTTAATTATCAGCCAGTATTAACAGTAAATTCATAAAATTATATAAAACAATCTCACAAGTTAAACTAGTAATCAGTTTTCAGATCTTATAGCATTTGCTATAATTATTATAGGTTAAAAAAAAAATATCAGATTAAGTTTTAAACTTGTTTAATGCACCAGCCGGCAGCCACCAAGGACTTTTGAAATGAAAGGAGATTTTAAATTTAATTTTGCTAATTTTTTTTTTTGTTGCATATTTAAAGTACCTATTTTAGATTTTTAGTGCTATTTTTTGTTAATATGAAATACTTATAAACATTTGGTTTGAAAAAAAAAATGAATTTTCTAATTCTTACGCTTCATAGCATTTTGCACTTTCACTAAACAAATGTTTCCTTCTTTTTTTCCTTCGTCATAACAATGTTTAATGGCATTTTTTATTCCTCTCTTACAATATCGTTCTGCTTCTTTTAACATTCCTTGTTCTAAGTAAACATAGCTGAGATTAATATGAACCTTTGAAAAATTTTTCAAGCCAGGAAGCTGTTTCCCAATTTTTTCTGCATCTTTAAAGTGTTTTAATGATATATTCAACTTTTTTTGAATATAGTATAGGTTTCCTATAGCATTCAACAAATTGATATTCGCTTCAAATACTTCACCATTTAACTTCACGCTGGTTTTATATGCCTTTTTGAAACATTTTATCGCTGCATCAAATTCCCAAATGTTTGCCAAATAATTAGCATAAGTTTCAAATGTGATAACGTATAAACCTAATGCTACTTTATTATGAGGATCACTTTTGAGCTTCTTATTTAAATGATGTACACAGAATTTGTAACCAATTTCAGAAGTACTGGAACAATTTAAAATTATATTAAAATCAATAAAATAGTAATAAATAAATTCTTTATTTAGACATAAGTCTGTAAATAATATTTTAATCATATTATAACTTGAGACAATGCCATGTAATGTGTACCTATTATAATATACCAATATGAGTGTTCACGAACATAAAATGTGCTAACTACCATTACTCAAAACATAATTATAAATGATTGAAAATGGCAATTAAAAATTAAGGAATCTTTATAGTTACAACTATGTATATAGATTTTTAATACTTACCTAATTTAAAAATGTTTATAAATATTTGTTAAATTATATACCTAATGTTATTAGATTTAACCATTAAAACATACACACAAAGCTTACTTTACTGTAACTTTTATTTGTATTTTACTTTAAGGGGATTGGAAGTAGTGATTTCTGTCTTTGCCTATGCCTAACACACGTATAACGTAGGATTATAGACGTGTTTTACGTCCAACGTACCGATTGATATGAAGCAATAAGAATTTTGAAAACATTTGAACTTTACGTCAAGAGAACAGCCTTCCCACATTTTTGATTTTTTAATTTAATCTTCTCCAAAAATTAAAAATACATAGATTTTTTAATTACTCTGTTTTAATGTATTGTACTTAGGATTTTGAGGGATAATATTATATAATATGTGGGAAGGCTGATCAGAAGAAAACTTGATGAAAAATTCAAATCTGTTTTCAGAATTCTTATCGCTTCATTATATCAATCGGTACGTTGGATATAGAACATGTCTATAATCCTATGTTGTACATGTGTTAAAAAAAGACAGAAAATCGCCGCTTTCAATCCCCTTAATATTTTCTTGATCTGTTGCATTTAATTAAATACCTAAGTAGGTTACCTATGTCGATACCTAGTAAAAAGAAGCAGTAAACATGATATTATACTGAATAGATTGTTGAATATTTTAACTTGTTGCTATTGCCTAATATTGGTCTTTTGAACATTATTTATTTATACGTTATTTAAAACATAATTGATTCATCAAACTTTAATAAACACATTTAGGGGATTAAATTTTAAGCAACTCACAAATTATACTTTTCTTTTTTTTCCTGTTTAATCTACAAAAGATGAGGATCTGTATGAATAATACTTAAACCCACTATTTATACTTATAAATCATGAAGTACCTATCTACATTATAATTTTCAGTACATGGTTAATTTACTATGATTACCTATAATTTAGATAATACCTACTATACTTTAAGTTCTAAATTAAACTATGCATATTCGAAATAAACTGATATTAATTTTATTTGTATCTAATATAAATATATATATATATATAGGTATAATATAATAATTACTTGTTACCTACCAATCGTTTACAAGTTCATGAGTTTTAGAAATTTTAAGAGTTATGAATAGAATCATATAATCATCTTCATCCATTCCTTGATTTAATAACCGATTAAAGACTTGTATAAGTAGAAATTTCGACTTTTSATGATCCTTTTCCATAAATAATGCTGCATTTGCTAACAGATCATAAACATATGTAATTTCATCATAATTCGTTAAATCGTCAGCAATTTTGAGAGCCTCATGTAATGTTTGTTCAAAAGCATTGTAATCGTCTTTCTAAAACATACAAAATTAATATTAGAACATTATTATTTATTGCTTATTTTACATAGGCGTAGGTACTATACACTCTTGTATTAAGTATTGGAATACTTGTATTTAAATACTTTTTAAATACTTTTTGACCAATGTACTTCAAATACTTTTTTGATTTTATGTTTATTTATGTTCTACCTCAATTCCATTTTGGGATATTTCGAAATGTAGGTACTGATTTAGATTTGTATTTGAAATATTATTTTATAATAGCTCTAACTTCTGAGGACTTTTAAATAACTAACTTTCCATAATCATGTATAAGTACTAACTAAATAAAAATAAATATTTCAACATAAAATATATTAAACTAAAAAAAAAGTATTTGTTGAAGTATTTTGAATAGGTAATTTTAAAAGGAAGTATTTTAATACGTATTAAAAATACAAATAGTGCAACTATTTAAATACGTATTCTGAATGCAATTGAAAATATTCTTAACAATAAGACTGGTACTATGCAAAAATATGTTATGCGGTTTAACATGAAGAAAATTGGCCGGAATTGGTATATTGGGTCCCGAATGACCATAACTTGGTAAATTGAGTCCTGGGAAAAAACAGGTAGTAGGTAAGTTGGGCCTCGAGCAAAAAAGATTATGGATCCTGCCGTCCCGGTTACTAATTAAAAAAATTAAAATAAATGTTATTACTATTATTATATTTATTATTTTCTTTAAAAAAAAAACAAAATTGAATTATGTAATATTATTATATACTTTATTTATATTGATTAAAAATAATTACAAATACAAATTAATAAAAAAATTAAAAATTAATTTCATTATTATTATCGTAACAAATTATGATAAAAAATATTTCAAAATTGGATTGCTTAAAAACTGTGGGCTTCACACTTCAAATTTAATATTAAGGTACTTATTTATTTATTATTTTTACTGATCTTAAACAAAATATCTATTAAATTAAATACAATTTTTATATTTAAATAGGTACACATTTTATGATCACGAATAGCTTAGTATATTAATAACGGTTTGATTTTAATTATATGTTTTTAACTATATGATTTTAATAAAATACACTTTTTTATAAAATTAATTTGCGCTTATGGGTTATTAAAAAGGTAATATTTTTTTGCACTTATGGGATTTAATTTTTGCGCTTTTGGGTTGCGTTTGGGTCATATTTTGCGCATATGGGCTTCAGCCGGGGCTTACAATTTTTTTTTTCGCGGAACCCAACTTACTTACTACCTGTTTTTTCCAGGACTTGATTTACCGTTTTCAAAATGTACCACACTTATCTCGGACCTAATTTACCTAGCCCCAAATTGGTTACTTTTCCTGAAATGCGCAAACAAACATATAGCCCCAACACCAAAAGAATTTACTTTAAATGCAAAATATAAATTTATAAATTATATTTGTTATTTTTAATAATAGACAGTTATAGGTTTTAGCTTTTTATAAGTTAAAGTAGAAATACATTCCTTGGTATAAAAATTAATATTATTACTAGGTATTATGATAGATTATTTTGAACATTAAAGAGGGATACTAGGTTATAATATTCACTTTTTTTAAAATTAATTATTTCATTTTGTATTAATATTAATAATTACAAAACTTTATTATATATTTATAACATATTATGATACACAAGGAGACAATTAATACTATATTATAGTTTTCTAAATAATATAAACATTTACTTACTTCTAAATACGATATTCCTTTTTCAATAATATCGATTAGTTGACCATTTGTTTCATTTTGTATAAGTCCAGCTAAACTAAGTAATGAAAACTTAAAGACTAATGATTTTTCTGTATTTGTATTATTTGACAGCATTTGTCTTAAAGCAGTTACTAAAGTTTCATTTAAAAGAGACATAGTGWAATTAGCGGCTTTTTTTTATTTTTTAAATTCAAAAAGTTTTAAGCTAAGGTATTAAGGTTAAAGTGCAGTTTTTTAATTTATAATAGGTAATTATTTTATWAATATTTTTTATCATATAAATACAAGTATAAAACTTAGTGTGTTGTAAAATATTTCACCGTAAATTATAACAACTAACAAGCGATATAATCAATCTCAGGGGGTAGAGTTCGGACCACATACAAATAAGCAATGAATAGGGTGTAAAATCTGCGTGGACTGTTGTAGTTGTGTAGAGTTTGAGCCAATCGCAAGCGAAAACGACTTACAGAAGGAGATATAAGATTTGCGCAGGCGTTACTCCGTTCCTTTTTGATGGACAGTCTGTTTTATTAGATGTTGGTATTGATTATTTATKGCAAAACGACGAGGGGAATAGTGCTGGGGAAAAAACCCTTGGTAAAAATGTTCCCGGATAGAATCTCTCTGAAAATATGTCCCTCGTCACCGTATATAAATAAAACAATATTTTCCATTAGAGATATGCCTTGGGGAGGGTAGGGGATTTTKAAATATGAATACCTATTGCATATAATTATGTTTAGGTAATATAATAGTTACATATTATTCAATAKTAATATTTAAAAAAATTAGGTTGGCAGATGTGAAACATCGAAAATTATTCTTTATTTTAAAGGTGCKTTATAGATTTTTTGCGGGTGTGGCTATACGCGCTTGCGTGATTCATGTGTGCTTTTCATACTTGCGCGTTGTGTGCATCAAAACGCARATAAACAGTTTCARCAGCCGCGTAAGATGTTTCTCATCGAAATAATAATAATAATACTCATAATACCTAATGAAAATTGATTTTACATTTTGAATAGTTTTTCGTCATAAATTGGCCATATTATTATATATCATATTATAGTTAATTGAAAAAAATTAATATAATTTATTATAAAAATTATAATTAGTGATAAATAAGCAATTATAATATAAATCCTTGTCTTCGATGTGTTAAAGCGTACCTTCTCACCATATAAAGATTAATAGAAATTTTGTTTGAATAAATTATAATAGCTAACTGAGTCAACGTATTTTCCTCTGGCCTAACCTAACCATACCTACAGGTTTTATTGTTAGTAAAAAAAAAAAATAGGTTACTTATTATAAAAAAATAAATAAAAATTGGTTACTTATTATTTAGTTATTTAATTATGAAGAAAAAAATTGTTAGAGAGTCAGAAAATGGAAATGATATTTTATCAATATTTCAAAAATTATGTACATAAAACTGAATAAAAAAACGAAAATATCCCTGGACTTGTTATGCAATATACCACCTCAATAGCAGATCGCAAAAGTATAACTACTATTATCGTAGTTAGTCTACCCCTCTTAATTAAAGAAAATACGATATAAATTTCTGATTTTTATAGTCCTGTGTTTTAATTTCTCGCTTCATAATATTGTTCTTGGTTGGTATTTTTTTTTTATACTTTCCTTAGTTTAAASAGTTTTTAAAAACAACATTCTAAAACAATTATATATTTATTCCGTAAAAATGAAATTCATCTATTATGTAATTAATTAAAAATATTATTTCTAAATAGATTTAAATTCCAAAAAATTATTTTYCTTAAAGTTATAGTTTTAATCTTTGAATGATATTTTCCCGAATGCCTATATATTATTATGATCGGCTTAGTTCAGTCGCAAGTGACGTGTGTGACACCAGTCACAGCCCATAGGTGAGGCCCAAACAATGAAATTTCATTTCACACTAGCYAGATAGTTCACTATTTAAGATGTCGTAGAATAGAAAATGTCCTTTCTGCAGTTTCCGTTGACACGAGTAAAGTCGCTAATTTTTCAATAGTTTTCTTGTAATTGGGAAAAATCTAAAAAAAAAGTAGGAGTGGAGGACTAGTCCGATTACGTCAYTGTAGTATAACCTATCAACATATTGGATATTACTACAGTCTAAAGTATACAATCATTAGTCATTACAGTCTATAACTTCCGTTCGCAGTTGTTTCCCTTGAATTGTATATAGTATTGATTATTTATTTTTTTATTTTTTATTGGGGTTCAGATTTCGACAATAAGAGCCATCATCAGCCTGTGAAATTGTGTGGTAGGGAACTGTTGGTTTGGAACTCGTGGATGTTTTTAGCAGAATTTCGAATGAGCACGCGTAGGTTTCTGCCATACCCGGGGACTCATTTTTCCAGACAGTCTGAAAAGCGATGCCGCCCATGACCGGAATTCGAATCGTCGACGGCGCGCGTCACAGCGACGCCTTAATCTGTTAATCTCCGGGCCACTACCCTCCCCCCAMCCATAATTAATTTTTTTWAAACTTTATTTTCAATGTTTAAACGCTTCATACGTCATTAAGTATTATATAATCAAAGATATTAAACCTGAAAGCTCATGTTGTGATATTGCTATTTGCTTAAATAACTATAGTAAATCAAAGAATGATGGAAGATCCATTACATAATTTCACAGGTACATTTATAAAATTATTATTACTTAGATAATGTATTATATATTTTTTATACTTATATCGGAAAGAACGGGTTCAGAAATGTAAAAGAGGTGACGATTTTGATTTTGATACGTCATTTATTTGTTCTGATCAATTTTGGTATTTGTTCGAGACTTAAAAGCAGAACTTTTAGGTAGTATTTTTAAAAATAAAAGGTTAACTCTTCCAATGCCAGTTAAACTATAATTTTGGGGTTGTGTTTAAATCTTATGAAAATAATTACATTATGTTAATTTGAAACTTTTTTATTTAATAAAAAATTTAATAAAWAATTTAATTTAATATATTATATTGAATCTACATTTCTCCTACCTCACCCGGCCACGGTTCGTAGTTGACCATCTTATTGAGAGTGCTATAGCCAACCACATGACTTTCAGCACTCAAGTTTCGCTTGTGGGGAGTGTCGATATGTCGCAAATGCCGTTGATACTTTCAAAAACCTCAGTGGACAGAATAATGGAATTATAAATATAGTTAAACTTAATACTATGGTTTTCTAAATWTTAAGTTGTAATGCATTTTTTATGTGGGAATTATCTTTATTATTTGAAAAAATAATCTTTGCATCAGATATGAGATTAGGGACCTCATCTTGAAAAAGTCTAAGCATGTCCATGGGTACAATATATCACATTGTAATGAAATTAGGAACGGAGTATATGTTATGAAAATATTAACTATACCTAGAATTTAAACTAAGCGCGAGTCATWTATGTTATTAGCAATTAAATTATAAAAAAATTGTTGCTTTTGGAAAAAAACATTTAATCACTTCAAATTTATAGGAGAAATAGCGTTTTGTTTAATAACAAAATAGATTTCTTTAAAAAATAATGAAAGACATAGTCCGTTTTTGAATTATTATGTAAGGCACATTTTTAAAATGGAAAAGGTATATATTTTAAAGTTGTATGGAAAGATTATTTTGTATCAATATTCTTTATCTGATGCGCGCTTGCGTGGACAGATTAAACGAATAATATTGATCCAGCACTTTTACCCTCTCTCCGCCTTGTCATCATCTCGCGCAGTTGCGTGGCTCGGTGTCGGTGTTTGGTTCACCAATCGTCTTCCTGTGATAGGCTGTGGCGCCGAAGTCCTAAAAATCTAGTAGGGTGAAAAATATTTCAAGAGGCCCAACGTCTTAATATCGGAAAAAATGGCATACCGGGGAGAGGAAAATGGTCAATATGAAGCGGCCCTATCTTAAATTTTCAAAATATGTCGGGCCATGGCCCGACCTTAATATARGGTTCGGCGCCACTGGTGATAGGTGCATCGATCGAGTTCAAGTTTTCGTGTTTCCTCCTTTAGTATATGTATATCACGCATGATCGATCAATGACCTTATGTTTTGGTATAACCGTATAACGAGTTTCCAAAAAAAAAATAGTTATTTATTTAAATTTTAGACCACATTTTTTTTGTCGTGCTGTAAGCATCATTGTGGCACTATTCATTGCGTACGATAGTTTTGAGGCTAATCGAKGTTAGTTTATGTATGTGACATTATTATAAAATTTAATTTATTTGAAGTGACATCAATCTTTATAGCTATTGTCAATGGCGCCCAAACAGGTTAGCAAGAAATGCAACTGCATGTGTTCTTGAGGGGGGTGGGTGTGTACTACTGCAGGTTTCACAGGGAAATTAAAAAATGTATAACATAAACTATAGTCTATACTAATTGATTTATTTGAATTACAGTGAAWAATAAGTAAAAATATTTGTTATAAATAAAAAATTTTGTGGGTGGGTTGCTAACTTTTTTTAACTGCATGTGCTCTTAAAATACCTCTGTACGCCACTGGCTATTGCTGTTAAGACACTGTCATYGTACCATTTATGTTTTCTCTCTGACCCACTCGTAATATTAAATTTATGGTATATAATAGAACCAACTCTGTGTTGTAACGTCTTTTATTGTTACTCTCTTATTATCGAACTTTAATAGGTATGAGAATTACGTTGGTTTATTAGCAATACATTAATTCTTATACAATTTATATAAACATTTTTAAATTGTAATAATTTAGACGCTTATAACTTATATAGTCATGACAACTTGCGTTATTAGCAACTTTTATTTATTTTATAAATCATAATCTATACATTTAAATAAAAAAAAAATTCCATCCCAAAAATAAATTTAGCTGCTCTCGAGAGCACTTCTTGTTTGTTTAAATGGTTACCATTGACTACTAAAAAATATTATTATTATTTAGCTCATTTTTTGCTGGACAGATGGCAACACTGTCATTTCATCACCAACTCGTCGTATTCCTCATCTAACCCGGTGACTTTCTCAAATTTTTCATGCCCAAAACCTTCTTTGTGGTGTCCTCTTTAATTTAAAAAAAATTGAAAGACAATCCAATAAGTATTTTATCCCGAACAAAAAAAAGCGACTTCATTTTATATAGTATATAGATACTGTTATTCGTTATTGTAATACATTTTGAGCGAAGCAAAAATTATGTGTTTATTTTTTGTCTGCCATCAAC